GAAAGAGCACAGACAAAGCCTTAGTTTGTTCATATGAAGAGATTTATTTTATATGTGTAACTTATTTATTTGATTTGGGGTTTGTTTTAAAATTTCTATTTAGTTTTGCTATATTTCAATTTCACAAAGAAGCGTGCAGCAATAGCCTAATAAAAGGACACCTTTTCATTTACTGTATAATGTGTCTTCAATCTCATTTTGTAAAAAAAAAAAAAATCGTGAGAAAATCGAATCGTGAAATCAAAATCGTGAATCGAACTGAATCGTGAGTTGAGTGAATCGTTACATCCCTAGTAATCAGCGTTGTTTACGTTCAGTAGAAAGCGTGCGCATGCTGAACGTAAACAATGCTGATTACGTTCTGGGGTACTCTCCAAAATGGCGGAAGACGGTAACTCTGGGAGAAGAATTGTTGAATAAATTGTTATTATTGTTTTCTTTGCGCACAAAAAGTATTCTCGCTGCTTTGTAAAATTACGTTTGAACCCCTGATGTCACATGGACTACTTTACCAATGTCCTTGCTACGTTTCTGTGCGTTGATCGTGGTAGTATCTCGATTTCTTTGAGCTTTATGTTGCATCATCAGCAATATATATTGTGTTGAAACCCCAAAAACTATTTGGAAGAACATCATGAAATTTGGCACATTTATTGCAAAGGGTCTAACCATTAATTGCACCAACTTTAGGGTATCTGCCTAAAATCCTCTAGCACCACCATCAGTTCAAAGTATAGCTTTTTGTATGATTGTAACTGCAAAATTGATTGTGAATTTTGCTTTGTCTGATGTTGAAACACCAAGAACCGTATGGAGAAATGGTGTGAAATTTGGCACATTTATTGCTAAGTGTCTAACCATTAATTGCACCAACTTTAGGGTATCTGCCTAAAACCCTCTAGCGCCACCATCAGCTCAAAATAAGACTTTGTATGATTGTAACTTTTGAATCTAGAAACATAAATCTTACCTGGCAACACAAACCTGACTTAGTATCTCACAGCATGTGATGTTGATGCTATGGGTTAAAGTTGTGCTTAGTTATGCTATATATTTCAATGTAATTCTGATTTTTGGGAAATTACTCCAGTTTGTTCTCCTCCAATTACAACAGTGACCATGTCAAGATTCTCATTTTTCAAATAATAAATGTAATACAGAACAAAAATATAATAAATTGCAGGATTGCAAAGATTTGTTAATATTCTTTTGTTTTTTTGTGACAGGACCAATTCAAATACAGTTATCCGCCTCTCCCGGACGATGACTTCCAGTCTCCAATCTGTGAAAACGGTCCAATCGTCAGCGAAGATGAGAGTGACATCAAGGATATTGAATCCGAGTCCAAAGAGACTCTCGAATCCAGTTTCAATTCTGAGCAATCAATCAAACCCAAGAAGGTATACCACATCATACGCTGCGTTCTGTCTAATCTACGTTTCCTTGTTCACAAATCCAGGTCACGTTTCCCCAAAAATCTAAAGAAATTATATTTTGCTAAATCTTTAACAACGCATTTGTAATTGCAAAAATATGAATGATCCTGGAAAGACTCAATTTTCCCTATGCAAAATATTTTCTTTCTTTTGATTTTGAAATGTGACCCGGACATGTTTTTGCGAGATTAACTTCTCTACACCTGTAACTCGAGTTACTGCTCATTCTTGGTTTCCAACAATGATTCTTTTCTTACATCGGAATCAATGCATTTTGTGAATAATTATTGTACTTTTGACTATGCATTTGAGCTTCTGAATCAATATTCTTTGACCATTGTGATTTGAAATCAAAGCATGCTGATGCTGCACCTCAAAGCTTTTGCTGTAGTGACATGGCCGAGACTTTGTACTGAAGCACCTCTTTCCCTGTAATCTCTCTTGCTCTCTTTTGGCCTCTTTATTAGTGAGATGATAATCATTATGCGATCAGAGTAACGTCAGGTGAATAGAATTCTAGCAAAGACTAGAGCTGGATGATAGTTCTAGAAGAAAAACACCAAAAACTATCTTTGATGATAAATGTACAATGATAAACAACAGTATTTACCCATGTATATGTACTAAAACATGAACAATGACAAGAGTTCAGTGAACATTTCTGAATGATGATGCAAAGGAATCATTTCATATATTTAACTGATTCACTGAAGCAGACAGTTTGAACTGATTCACAGAAATGAATCAAAATTGCCAGCACAACTTCTCTACTGAACTTGAAATGAGAGACGCTATTAAAACTAAATCTGTCTGAACACTTTCATACACTGAACATTTTTAATATTCATTTTGTAAATACTTGTGGCAAGTAACACGTTTAATTAAACGTGAATTTTTTAGTAGAAAGAATGAAATTTAATGCTAAAATTAAAATCACCACAATATTCATAAAACTAAAACCATAAAACAACATTTTTTATTACTTAAAATAAAATAAACGTTAGCTGAAATGAAACAAAATATAAAAAACGTAAAATGTATTTTATTTCAGCTAGTTTCCAAGGCAACATTTCTCATTTTCAGTTAGTGTAACAATGCAATAAAATAAATAACTACAACTAAAACTGAAATAAAAAATAATAAACATTTGTTTGAACACTTTCATACGCTGAACATTTGATGTAAGATTTATTTTGTAATTATTTGTGAAAATTGTTTTAAAAAATAGTAACATATTTAATTAAATGTGAAATTTTAAATGCAAAGACTCAAATAGCAAATAGTATTTTGTCTTTATAAAACATAGTCCAGTAATCTTTGTTTTATTTAAAACTTGTCTACAATGTACTCATAAAACAAGCAACAATATTTAGGAAATGTAATGCTCAAATTAAAATCACCACAATATTCATAAAACTAAAACCATAAAACAACATTTTTATTACTTAAAATAAAATAAACATTAACTGAAATGAAATAAAATATAAAAAACTTAATTTATTTTAGCTAGTTTCCAAGGCAACATTTCTCAATTTAGTGTAACAATGTAATAAATTAATAATTATTTGTGAAAATTGTTTTAAAGAAATAGTAACATAGTTAATTAAATGTGAAATTTTAAGTGCAAAGACTCAAATAGCAAATAGTATTTTTTCTTTGTAAAACATAGTCCAGTAATCTTTGTTTTATTTAAAACTTGTGTACAATGTACTCATAAAACAAGCAACAATCTTTAGGAAATTTAATCCTCAGATTAAAATCACCACAGTATTCACGACAGGATTATTATAGTTAACTACAATCATTTTTTTTTTTTTAATTGTTACTTACAAAAAATTTTTTTATTTTTATATATGTATGTTTTATTTCAGCTAGTTTCCAAAGCAACATTTCTCATTTTCATTTAGTTTAACTTGGATTAACCTGCATTGTGCCGTTAAGGGTCATCGTCACTCATCTCTGATCTCATCAACTAATCAGGCGTCTCACAGTGTTTGTGTTGATTGATGTTAGACGCGCTAATTATGATGATGAACTCATGAGCGTCTCATGGTTCGCTCTGATTCATCATGTGACTCTCAAACGCTCAGCATGATGACGAAGCGCTTGAAGGCTTTCATTTGGGATCCAGAGATCCTTTTCCAATGTCCGGTCGCCATCGAGCGCATCAGTCGAGTTGAGTAAAAATCCCATTCATTCTCTACAGAGCAAACTGATTCAAATCAGAGTTTTTAAATGCGATTCATCTGGTTGATTTGATTCGTGGTTTTACTGAAGAATCTTCTATGGAGAAAATGAATGGGAGAAACTCACAGCTGTGCTCGCTGTTCTCCGTGCATGTTTTTCTCATGTCCCTCTCTGTCTGTCTTAAAACAAGGACTGGTAAGACATTGTAGATGCTTCTACAACCTCAAGTGCCTGCGGTTTCCAGAGCCAAACCAGATTCATCCCATGTGTCCATCCCATTTCAACAGCACCGAACGAGACGCTTCATCTACTTGTCCCAGTTTCAGTGGCATTTCATATGATTTTAATGCATATTTGATTGATATTTTTAACAAATCACCGTCTGGTTACGGGGTGTATTAGATCTGTTCAATCAAAGACGTTATATTAGCAGTTTTATTTGAGTATTATCGTTGTGTTGTTATTGTGTCAAACTCCTCAGGGCTCTTGCACACTAGAGAATACTGTTGTTGGGAATCTAGAAGCGGTTCTTGAGCGTCTGCATTCCTCCAGTGTGTTCAGATAAACCGTACAAAAATACTGAGTGTTTCCTGCACCGCTATTGAATCAAAAGAAACCATTTTATCTTAGATTTGAGTCTGAATGAACCCTCATGTTGGGTCATTTTGATCTGGACAGGATTTTCTTTTTCCCGAAAATGCTAGTTAATGTGTTATTGCATCGGACTGAAACTTACTGACTTTGCTCGCACAGGGTAAAACAACTTTGCCCAAACAATTTGATACGTTTTTAACTTTTTTTAGAGATTTTTCCCACCTTGTTACACGTTTGGTGTTTCCTGGTCAAAAAGGATCGGCCTACAAATAATTGATTATAAATCTATTATTATGCTAAATTATCACCAAATATGTGACCCTGACCACAATTTTTTATTTTTTTAATTGAGCACAAATAAGACAATATTTGGCCGAGATACAACTATTTGAAAATCTGGAATCTGAGGGTGCAAAAAAATCTAAATATTGAGAAAATCATCTTTAAAGTTGTCCAAATGAAGTTCTTAGCAATGCATATTACTAATCAAAAATTAAGTTTTGATATATTTACGGTAGGACATTTACAAAATATCTTCATGGAACATGATCTTTATTTAATATCCTAATGATTTTTGGCATAAAAGAAAAATGGATACAATGTATTGTTGGCTATTGCAACAAATATACCCCAGCGATTATGACTGGTTTTGTGCTCCGAGGTCACATATTGTATTCAATCTTTTTATCAACTTGTTTTCTTTCAATTAGCACAGGTTGTGTGTTTCTTTTTGGCACTTATTGATCGTAGGCTTCACTGATCTGAACTCATGCTACTCCATTTTTGAGCCAAAATAATCCACAAATAAATGTTTTTTCACTCTAAAACTGAGGTGCATAAGCTCAGATTAACAAGATTTATAATCAGTCAGTTCCGAAAAGAAATCCAAAACGTGTGCTAATCGAAAGATAAAAAGATTGAATCCAAATATTGGAACACAAGAGAACTTTCTGTTGTTATTGTTCATATAATGAAAGTAAACGTTGTGTAGACCTCAAGAGTTCTTCAAAATATGGGTTTAAAAGAAGAGAGAGTCATACAGGCTTGGAACGATATGAGGACGAGTAAATGACAATTTTAATTTTTGGATGAATGATCATTTTAAGGCTTGAGAGACTATGACAGTGTAGTTACTTATTGTTCAGTGCGTGTAGTTAAAGATACACAAAGCAAAGATTTGATTTAATGAGTTGTACGTCAGTTCAAAAGTGCTCAAATAATTAAGATAAGGATGAGTGTGTTTCTTCATCAGATTTGGAGAAATGTAGCATTGCATCAGTGTCTCTGCAGTGAATGGGTGCCGTCAGAATGAGAGTCCAGTGTGCACAATTTCAACTAATTTTCATTTTTAGGTGAACTATTCCTTTAAAGAGCCATAATTGGTCAGTTGAATCCATTGATTCCAAGGCAGTAAAGAAGATACGCTGGGGTTTGCATGACTTTTAACTCTTGCTACAACATACACTAAGCAGTGCGTTCAGAAATGCGGCTGGTTTCAGGCTGATCCAGTTTGATGTAATGCGCAATCTGAGCTACTTCTTCTTCTTCTTCTTCTAGTGTGTAGGAGTCCTGAGAGCGTACAGAGGAACTAATGTAGACCACGGTCATATGATCAGCATTATGACATTTTCAATAACACTCTGAAATTGTGAGTTGTTTATATAGACCCACTATTGAATCGTTTCGGTTTTGCTCTAACACTCCACCAAAATGTTGTTTTTCCACATTTACATTTCATAAACAAGTTTGTCTTATTATTTGATTTTGAAAAAGAAAAACGGTGTTTGTTCTCATCACGAGTGATTTTTCTGATCAGTGCTGTAGACACTGATGCAATGCTACATTTCTCCAAACCTGATGAAGAAACAAACTCATCCTAATCTTGGATGGCCTGAGAGTGAGCACAATTTCAACTAATTTTCATTTTTAGGTGAACTATTCCTTTAAAGAGCCATAATTGGTCAATTGAATCCATTGATTCCAAGGCAGTATAGAAGATACGCTGGGGTTTGCATGACTTTTAACTCTTGCTACAACATACACTAAGCAGTGCGTTCAGAAATGCGGCTGGTTTCAGGCTGATCCAGTTTGATGTAATGCGCAATCTGAGCTACTTCTTCTTCTTCTTCTTCTAGTGTGTAGGAGTCCTGAGAGCGTACAGAGGAACTAATGTAGACCACGGTCATATGATCAGCATTATGACATTTTCAATAACACTCTGAAATTGTGAGTTGTTTATATAGACCCACTATTGAATCGTTTCGGTTTTGCTCTAACACTCCACCAAAATGAAGTTTTTCCACATTTACATTTCATAAACAAGTTTGTCTTATTATTTGATTTTGAAAAAGAAAAACGGTGTTTGTTCTCATCACGAGTGATTTTTCTGATCAGTGCTGTGATTCATTACTGTATGCTTGTCAAAGATGGATATATATAATGCAATGTAAATCGTTTCATCTTGTTTTTCCACATTTACATTTCATAAACAAGTTTGTCTTATTATTTGATCATCTGATTTTGAAAAAGAAAAACAGTGTTTGTTCTCAATCACGAGTGATTTTTCTGATCAGTGCTGTGATTCATTACTGTATGCTTGTCAAAGATGGATATATATAATGCAATGTAAATCGTTTCATCACTAATGATCAATTAACTAATGAATAGACACTAATGATTGACTGACATACTGTAAAATGTAATCATTTTCAATCAAACTCTGAATAAAGTCCGGAACATTTCAAATCGAACCTGCCTCTTTAATTAATGAACACATTATAAGGCCGTTTTTGTCGATTGTAACGACGCCGTGACCTTTGACCTCGACCCCTGACCCACATCCTCTCCCTCTTTTTTCCAGCACGTGTTCGGTTGCGCCAGAGTTTCACTTCAACTTTGTTTCCACTTCCGCAGCACGAGCACAAAGAAAGCGTGTGTTCAGCAGTTTTCGTTTCGTTTCCACGTGTGTTTTGGCGGTTTGCGACTGAATAAAGTGGGTAAAAGTTCCTGTGATGGTTAAAATGGGAAATCACAACCTGATGGTTTCAGTGCGTTTATTCAGCAATGTAAATCGTTTCATCACTAATGCTCAATTAACTAATAAATAGACACTAATGATTGACTGACATACTGTAAAATGTAATCGTATGTGAAGAACATTTCATGTAATCTGGTTCAAAACTGTGATTTTTCAGCTGTTTAATTGACATTTTCAATCAAACTCTGAATAAAGTCCGGAACATTTCAAATCGAGCCTGCCTCTTTAATTAATGAACACATTATAAGGCCGTTTTTGTCGATTGTAACGACGCCGTGACCTTTGACCTCGACCCCTGACCCACATCCTCTCCCTCTTTTTTCCAGCACGTGTTCGGTTGCGCCAGAGTTTCACTTCAACTTTGTTTCCACTTCCGCAGCACGAGCACAAAGAAAGCGTGTGTTCAGCAGTTTTCGTTTCGTTTCCACGTGTGTTTTGGCGGTTTGCGACTGAATAAAGTGGGTAAAAGTTCCTGTGATGGTTAAAATGGGAAATCACAACCTGATGGTTTCAGTGCGTTTATTCACGTGTTCACATTGGGTCTTTGTTCTGATTTTCTTCCCCATTTTTGATGCCATTGATCCCATTGGTTGCTGCTAATTTATATATAATTGAGGCCTGCTTGACTTTGTTGCGTTTCAGTCACCATAAAATAGCCAATTCTCATTGAAAACAAACAAAGTCCAGTTGCTTTTTTGGTTTTATCATCTTCAAAAACCCTGTTACAGTTCTTCTTCTGTTCTTTATTGCAATGTAATTTATTGTAGAAGTTGTTAATCTTTAAATATGTTATTTAAAAAAAAAAAATTGTGCTGCAACGTTCATGCAACGTTCTTTCTATGCAGTGTGGCATCAGCTCGTCTATACTGGAACATTTGAACTGGTTCATAACCACAGAATGATGCCTCGTGTTGTACTTTCCCATTTTTTGCAATCATTTGTCATACAGGTTGTTAATCTTAAAAAAATCTCCATTTTTGTGCCGCAACGTTCACGATTTCTTTCTACGCTGCATTTATCAGTTCGTTGATTTTGGAGCATTTAAACGGGTTCGTGTGCACATTAATCAGACCTGATGTTGTGCTTTCCTGTTTGTCAGTCTGAAAATATCTCCTTTTTTTGAGCAGCGATGTTTATGCAGCATTCACGCGACGTTCGTTCTATGCTTTATGGTATTAGTTTATCAATATTGGAGCAATCGAGCAGGTTCATTAGCACAAAATTAGACCTCACGTAGTGCATTTCTATTTATTGCAATTAATTTGTCGTACAGGTTATTACTCTTAATTTCATACAATGTTCATGCAACGCTCTTGTGGTATTTGTGTCGATATTTTATCATTTGAACAGGTTCGTGAGCACAAAATCGGACCTGATGGCGTGCTTTCCTATTTATTGCATTTTTTATCATGCATGTTGTTAATCTTAAAATATGTCCATTTTTGTGCAGCAACGTTAATGCAACATTCAGTCTACCCTGCATGTATCAGTTTGTTGATATTGGAGCATTTGAAAGGGATTGTGAGCACAAAATCAGACCTGATGTCATGCTTTTCTATTGCAAAAGTGCCATCGTGATGTTCTGTGATGTGTTTTGAAGGTGAATTTCCTTGAAGACGGTCAGAAGTCTGAAGATCTGGACAGAGGAGATCCTGGACGACTGAGAGGAGCTAGAAAACCTACCACCACATTCATGGGCACATTACTGCACATCAGGTAAATCACTGCACTCGCGTTTGATGGACTCGATGAATGCGAGCGGTATGCGAGATCTAGTTCAAAAGGCACACACGCTTTTTTCACACTTTTTCACTAAAGGAAGTATCATACTAAATTGCTTTCAATTACATGCACCAATATACTAATGCACAGTCATAAACCGCAATATTTGCCTTCAGATACTTACTAAATATGAAAAGTTATGCATGGGGACTTCAGTGAACATTTCTAAGTGATGTTAATTCATTGAATCAGAGTTTTGAATTGATTCAGTGAGTCGGACAGTTTGAACCGATTCACAGAAATGAATCAAACTATGAGAAACTATTAAATCATCTCTGAACATTAAATGAATTGAACTAGTTTACATTGAATTGTGTTTGTTTATGGGTTAAATACATTGATTTGGGATTTTATTGTATATGAAACTGAACACTCAGGTAATTTTTGTATGTGTATAATTCAGTCAATTAAATATTTTGCAAATGAAAGATGCTTTCTCTAATTTAATTGTTTTTCTATTTTTATTTGGAACTTGATCGACATAAAACCATAACTAAATGGATATTAATGGTATCGCAAAAAACACATTCGACAACTATATGGTATGAATACATTTACTGCTCAAAATAATTAATGAATTGACGAACTTCTGCTCAGCAAGGCTGCGTTTATTTGATCAAAAATACAGTAAAAATTGTGAAATTATTACAATGTAAACTAGCTGTTTTCTATGTGAATATCTGTTAAACTGTAATTTATTTCTGTGATGCGCAGCTGTATTTTCAGCATCATTACTGCAGTCTTCAGTGTCACATGATCTTCAGAAATCAGTATAATATGCTGATTTGCTGCTCAAGAAACATTTCTGATTATTATCAATGTTGAAAACAGTTGTGCTGCACAATATTTTGGATATGGATGTTATTTGAGGCCGACTGCGGTTCATGCAGCGCATGATTCATGCCAAATAAATATACAATAACAATACATGTGCCTATTAGAGCTGGCTGAGATATTGAATGTTTATTAAATGTGTGATGATTCATTTACATGATTCAGTTCATACTGTGCAATTCAGTGAATCAGTTCAGAACTTTGGAACAATGATTCATTTGCGTCATCTCCCAATGTTTAGTCTCCATGTGTCAGTTTTCATATCAAAATGTTTTCAGAATATATATTGCTGTTTATGATTGTTAAATTGGTGCATATAAATAAAAATGGTATATGATATGATTTATGATATGATAAATCACAATATGATTTAATTTAACTACATTAGTTAAGAGCTGAGAATAACCAATGCTAACTTCATTTCAACATTACATTTTTAAAATCAAAGTTATTAATGCACTGTGAACTAAAACGATGAACAAATAGAGCATTAATGAAAGTGAATAAATGCTAATATATTGTTACTATTTAAAACAATTTTGTTAATTGAAATAATTAAAGGCTTGAATAAAGTAAAATAAATATTAAATGAAAAACTTTAACTGCCTTGGCAACTAACTGAAATAATAAATAAATAAAGTTAAAAAACTAAAAATACTCACTGGAAATAAAACTAAAACTGAAATAAAGATAAATTAGAGCGAATAAAAATAAAAATGCAGTTTGCTTTTTGTAAGCCTGCACAAAAAAAATACTAAAAATTAAGTATTAAATATAATAAATACAATTAAAAAAAAATCTAAATATTAACAAAAACTATAATAGTATATAAATAACACTAAAATAATACTGGTTCATTGTTAGTTCTCATTAATTGATGCATTTATTAATGCTAACAAATGAGACCTTACTGTAAAGCGTTACAAAAATATAAATAAAAACAAATATTGAAAAATGTTAAAACATGCATTGTGAACTAGATTTTTACTGCATTTTATTTCTAACGTGAGGCATTTTGAATCTACTTTATTACGAAGACTTTTGATTAAAATGATGAATCCTGTATTTCAGAGCCAACACATAAATATGGAGATGATTTTTTTTTAGCTCTATCTCCCATATGCACACACATTGATGTTTAGAGTCACAGGATCTGATGTAATGTGCTTTCTGTTGTGTGAACATCACTCAGTGATATTGCAGTAATCTGTTAGTGAGAGAGTTGTGGATGTGATCTTGATAATCACGCGTGTGCGGTGTTGTTTCAGTCCATCAGAAGAGCTCCGATTCGGTGCTAAAGAATCAGAGAAGAAGTGTTTGATCATCCTCAACAACGTCACCAAAAACCACGTGGCCTTTAAGGTGAGACGTCAGCAGATCACGCATGCTGAATAAAGCTGCAGTCTATGATTTGAATGAAATACTTTAGAACTAAAAGAAAATCGGATTTTCAGCCTCATCTGCAGGTGTCTCACTAATTTAACAGTCTTTTTTTATTGGTGTTTGCCAAGTCCCAATGCATAAGCCCTATGAAAGAAGGTTTATTTTGTCCCAAATTCCGTTGTATTTTTCCCCCCCCAATTTTTAAAAAAAAAATTTTTTTTTTTTTCTGGATTCAGTTTTTTCTTTTTTTGGCTTTTTGTTTTGAATAAATAGTTCTGGATTTTTTTTTTTATTTTTTTTATTTTTTTTTTTTTCTGGATTCAGGTTTTTCTTTTTTTGGCTTTTTGTTTTGAATAAATAGTTCTGGATTTTTTTTTTTATTTTTTTTATTTTTTTTTTTTTCTGGATTCAGGTTTTTAGTTTTTTGGCTTTTTGTTTTGAATAAATTTTTTTTATTTAAAAAAAAAATTTGTGTCCTAGATTTCTTTTTTCTCAGTTTAGTTTCTCTGAATTTTGGTTAAATAAAAATTCAGTAATCAGAAAGTATCTAATTAATTAAAGTCATGAAACTCGTACCATTTAACAATGATTTATCAAAAGTTTAACAAAAAATATATTTTTAGGGCCCTATGAAACTGGTTTTATTTTTTCTCAAATTCTTCTCTTCTTTTAGTTTGGCAGGTTGCAGTGAAGTCCTTTGAGCTTCTTACAGCCCTACTTTTATTTAAGCGAAAATTTATTTACCAAAATTTCATGTTATTCTGTAAATTCCATTTCTATGATTGGATTCTGCGTCCATGTTTTTTGTCTTAAATCTCACTACAAATCAGTTGTAATGACAGGAGCTGGTGTGGTTGGTCTCTACAGTGTTTGATCATGTTTTTGTGTGTTCAGGTCCGAACGACGGCTCCAGAGAAGTACCGCGTGAAGCCCAGTAACAGCAGCTGTGAGCCCGGAGCCAGCGTGGACATCGTGGTTTCACTTCATGGAGGTAAAGAGCAGCCAGAGCTCACTTACTACACATATTTGAAAAGTTTGTCTGTTTACATGTCATGTGACCATTCGGGTTGCTGCGATAGACTTTTAGTTATTTTATTTGACATCCAGGTGTATGCCGTGCCTCCAAGCTTTCTATTTTTATTACGTTCTATTTTTGTTATTTGTTTGGTTTCACAGTGTTTGCTGATTTTCAATTTTGTATACCTTTGTGTAGCCTTTAGTAATTTGTTATTTTATATTAGGCATATTGCACGGTGTATTTTTATTCGTTTTGTTAATACAACATCAAACTCACAGAACTTTTATTTGAAATTGAAAGTGAATGTAAAATGTGCATGGAGCTATTTAAAAGCGAGGAAACGAGGGCAAA